GATAGATAGATAGATAGATAGATAGATAGATAGATAGATAGATAGATAGATAGATAGATATAGGCAGGCATACATGGATGGATGGATGGATGGATACAGGCAAGCAGGCAGGCAGGCAGGGATGGAGATAGATAGCTAGATAGCTAGATAGCTAGGAGACAGGCAGGCAGGCAGGGATGGATGGATGTAGAGAGAGAGAGAGAGAAGGGGGAGGGAGGGAGGGAGAGAAGTGATAGAATGTATGTATAGCATTTCAGCATGACAATCAATGTCTGATTCTGAGAGACACAGACACAAATCATTCCAAACTTTTTTATTTTTGTCTTACAAAGGAACTGTGGGAATCCACTTCCATTACAGGCTGGCCGCTCAGGGGAACTTGGCTTAAATAACCATTAAGACAATGTGCAACGCTCAAAATTTAAAACTTCCAAAGTTTTATCACGTGCTTAAAACCATACTCAAAAAAATCCTTACCCTGTTAAAAACTGGTAGCATCATGTAGAGTTTCTCTTCCTGTTCCTTTTGAGTCATATGCCGAGGGGGGTGACACAATTCTGTAAACAGCCGGCGTAGATGCATTAATCCTAGAGCGTTATCTTGAGGGCTGCATTCCTCTTGGCGAGGTCGACCCATTATCCTTTTTACCATATTCATCTTTGCTTCTTTCTGAAAGATCCCTTTGATCCTATTCAGGAAGAACAAGAGCAAATTACCAAGAATGTTAAGACAAGGATACAAAAGCTTTCCTTCTATGCAGCAGTGAAAGTGTGTGTATCATCAGCATATAAAAGCATAAATATATGGCCAGATTTAGTTAACCATGGGCAATGATAATGCCTCTTTGGAGAGGGTTTTCCCCCAAACTTTGAAAAAGAGAAAAGTAAAAAGCCAGATCCTCTCTTTGAGCATGAACTTGTAATAGTATTCCTATTTAGAACATATTTAAATGCAGTACGCAACCTATTTTTAAGTGAAGTCAGCAGACAGTTAAAATATCAAGGCCTACAAATGGCCTGGGTGCAGATTATTTATTTAAATAAAAGCACCACTGTTCCAAAGAGGATTGTTTTAATCTCCCGCATAGCTTGACCCTAGAGCAGAGGTGTCAAACACAATTTCATTGAGGGCTGCATCAGGGTTGTGTTGGACCTGGGAGGGGGAGGGACGGAGTGGGCATGACCTGGGTGAACATGACCAGCTCAACCTCACTCGTGTTGGGGGTACCTGTGGTGGCCCAAGCACTCTGCCAGTGAAAATGGGCTTCCGAGCTCCATTTTCAGCAGCAATGGCCTCCTGCAATTCTCTGCCAGTGAAAACGGACTGTAATTCTTGACTCGATCCAAAGATCAAAGTATTTGCTGAGTCCTAAGTAAAAACAGTTATTCAGTTAAAGCAGGGGTGTCAAACTCAAGGCCTGCGGCCCAGATCCGGCCTGTGGGGTGCTTAGATCTGGCCCACCAGGCCAATCTGGAAACAGCGAAGGACCAGCCCTTAGGGCCTCTGCCAGCTAAAATGGAGTTTGCGGCCCTCCTGAGCTCCGTTTTCACTGGCAGAGGGTCGCAAGAGGCCGTTGCTGCTGAAAATGGAGCTCGGGAGCTCGTTTTCGCTGGCAGAGTCCTCGAGCCACCGCAGGCACCACCGACACGAATGATGTCAAGCTGGACATGCCCCCCCCGAAGTCAAACACAACCCTGATGCAGCCATCAATGAAATTGAGTTTGACACCTCTGAGCTAAAGAGATTGTTCCTTCTGCGCTATGTAACACTTTCTATCATGACTCAGTTAGATACTGTTGAGAAATAGAAAAAGTTTTTAGTTTTAGATCTGGAAACATCACTGTGAGAGGGACGTGACCATACTTCCCTCTTTCTATTGGGAAGTTAGGGAAGTCTGAGGAGAGATCGGTAACTGTCTCTTATAGCTCTGAAATATTGTATGGGGGTGTTTTGGCTTTGGCCTACATACAACATTAGCCAAAACATGGATTAGCCAAAAACACTGGCTAGCCAAAACACGGATTAGCATGAAACACAAGTACAGTTTAATACTAATGCTCTGTATACATACAGTACCTCAACATTATTTTCCTCAATTAGACAACCGCTGGTATTATGCAAACTTTAACATAGAGAAGCTATTCTCATGTTTGCCTATCTTACACTGACCTCATCTGACAAATATTTTTTTTTCTTATAACAGGCTAACAATAAACATGTTATGAAAGAAAAGGTTCCTTGACTCCTGTCATGGTGTGACTCTAGTTGTATAGCAGGTGTGTCAAACTCAGGGCCTGGGGGACGGATCCGGCCTGCAGGGTGCTTAGATCTGGTCCGCAGGACTGCCCTGGAAACAGCAAAGGATTGGCCCATGGTGCCTCTGCCTGAGAAAACGGAGCTCGGGAGGGCCGCCCATTTTCTCAGGCAGAGGC